CGATCAAATTTCTCAGTTTTAACATTTGATATGTTGTCTTTGTACTATTTTCAATTAAATATAGTGTTTAAATGATTTGCATTCTGTTTTTATTTACATTTTGCACAGCGTCCCAACCTTTTTTGGAAACAAGGCTGTATACTAATTACCAGTGATTCTCTCTGCTAAGAAACACATTTTAAAATCAATACTTTAACGTGAGTTTCTAAACAACATGAAACAGCTAACAGACTAACAGACTGGGGAACTGATGGGACAGCTGGTGCTTAATCATTGCCATTCACAGAAATAGCATTTTTAAATGTGTTAAGGGAAGCCAGGAGAAAAAATAATTTAAAGAAAAAAGAAAACTGCAAGTTAGAACATGCTGCCAAGGATAAACAAGTTAGTTGCTAAAACAAAATAACACTGCACAGTGGCCTCAAGTCACATTTCCCTCAACCAACCAAAAATGTGATTTGTGAATGTATACCAAATGACTGCGTTTTGAGAAGTAAGCCGCTGTAGAAAAGGAAAAAACTTTCAGAAACTTTAGGTGAAGTTGTGTGGGCTTCTGATTTGGGCTATAAGATCCACAGAGAATGGTAGTAATCAGTGGTCAAGTTGTAAGAAAATGTCAGACAGGATGGTCGTTTTAACCGACCACTTTTAGAATTCCCTACAGCAGGCAGGTTTGCCAGGTCCAGCAAAAATCTCCAGCTGACCACAAAAAGCTGAAACTAAATTTTTAAGTAATTAAAAATAATTTTCTCCCACGACAGCATTTTCAAACTAGCCCAATTTGGCTGGCGAGCCACAAACCTCGCAACCCAGACAGCAGCGGGTGCTCGCGCTGATTTTGAAAAAACACTCCACAGCACAGACATTGAAAAGTGAAAGTGTGTGAACCTACATAACCACCTCTTGTGTAGGCGCATGTGCTCTGCCCTCATCATAACTTACTTGTTTGACATGAAGAACTCCTGCAGTGTGGATAATAGACATCTTAAGGGATGTCACACTAATTAAGGCGATGGAAAGGGTTTTGTCTTTTTTTTGTTTGACAGAGGCGATGGCATCCTTTCATTCTAAAATCAAGCTCTGGTAGTGACATACATTCATATTGAGCTTCTTCCAGTTTCTCACACCCAGCATCTGCTACATGACTAAAACAAGTGGCATTGCACCAGAGCTTTTCCTGACAGACTCTGAACATTAGTAACTTGTTTCATGGATCTTTCCTCTGTATGATCCAAAAGTCTTTGTTAATCTCACTATTTGTGTCTTGAAGGTAAATTCCACTGATTTTCCATTTTTTGCATAATTAAGTGGTTCAATTGTAAACAAAGTCATTTCAGAGTGGTTTGATGTGAAATTCTTCATTCTAGATAAAGTTGAGTCAGAATTGTTCACAGCAGTGGTGACAGGAGCCAGATGTATAAAGAGTTATTACATGAAATGGTTTTGGATACATGCATGAGACAGTGTTTTACGACAGTTTTGTGATAAGATTTTGGCCTAAAGTCATTCATGGTGGAGAGGTATATGTAAGGCAAAAGAAAACATATTTTTACTTTACCACAATTTTACTGTTGTTATTACAAAATCACCTGATCGCAGTTATTTGAGATAACTGCAATTATTTAAACTGACTGCAGTTATTTTTAACAGTTGCTTTCCACGTTGGATCATACGCAGAATATGAAATAGATGTTTTCGTCAGTTCAGCTGAGAGAAAATATAATAAAGCAAGTAACACATTAACTCAGACAAGCTGTGGGTTATACAGAAACAACACAAGTTCTTAAAAGGGTGCTGTAACACACACAACACGTTAGGGAAATGTTTGTTGTTTTGATTCATTAGCTCGATAGCTAATGCTAACTTCTGCACACACATGATTCTGTCTAAGAGTAGAAACTTTTGACTACAGTGCAATATATAATTTCACGTCAGTACGACCTAGCGTCGGTTACAGAGTAAAGATAGAAAGGAAGCAATATAGCTAATCAGCTGATTTAGCTGCTTTAGTTGCATAAAAGACAATAAAATTGTTAACCATAAATCTTTATATGACAATTAGTCATCAGCTAGAATTTCGTGACTGTAACATACCTAATCAATGACAAATGTTAGGTTGTTCTGGATAGTAAATAGAATGGCTATATTTGTGTTGTAGACATTGTGACCACTGGTTCCTATCATCACAACTGTAAACAAACCTGATTCTGTAAGTTTCTCTTCAATGAACCAGTTCAAACAAACCACTCTGAATGACTTTATTGACATCTCAACAACTGAATTATGCAGAATTTTGGCAAAATCAGTGGAATTCTACTTTAAAGGAATGGATCAGCGAAAAATCTAATTTACAGTTTTCCCTCTTTACACCAAACATTGTTAAGCGACCAAAACATCTTTTTCCTTCTTCTTAAGTTTTTGCACTGGAGCTAAGAGGCTAATAAATAGCTAACAAGTAACAGTTGTCACTTTTGGCCTGCTCATTAGGGGCCTGGATCTAGATTGCGGTAAAGCTGTTTTGAACTGAAACTGATCTGAATAGAGTAAAACAGTTTCATTTCTCCAAATATCAGTTCTAGAATAATTCTATTATGTATGATGAGCCTGTTATTTGGAAACAATGGATACATTAGAATGTACATTAGAATGCTTTGTAAAGGCCTCTGGTTTGGGAAAAGCTGGTCTTGAAAAGCAGTTCTCCTTCCCATTAGAAATAGTTCAGATGTGCATAAAAGCATGCCGAGAAGGACTGAAGTGATGAAGAACAGGCAGCCTCACTCATTATTGATATGTGCTTGTCTAATGCTTCCATTGTTTTTTTGTCCGCCCCTAGATTTTCAAGAGCATTTAGTACACGCTTATAATATGTGTTTTTGCATCCTATCTATTTTCATATCCCACTGTCCAAGGATTTGGTCCCCTAAAGCACATCCTGATCAGGAGTCCATATGCTGTTCAGTGCGCTAACTGGGTTGACTCCCCCCTGAGTCCCGCAGTATGTTTTCATTTTCAGACGTGCAGGAATTTTGCAGAGGTTGGTTTTACATGGTCCAGGAAAAAAACACAGCCCCCTTTGCTGTAACACATTTTTTAGCAATGCACTCATGGCACTGTCTGAAAAGTCTATCTGATGAGACAGGTCACACGTACTGTGAGAGGGATTTAGTCACTACATGAAATGTCAAAACCACGTATTATATCATCATCGTTTTGTGACACGACCTGCCCTTCAGTGACGTTGGATTAAGGCAGCCCCACTGAAACTGCTCCACACTCAGGCGAGCTGTTCTCCACCATGTCGGGCTTATTCGTCGTTCTCTTTACAGATTTACATCCTAAACAGCACAACTGTTCGTGTTTTACAGCGTGTTCTCTACCAAAAAGTACAGCCTGCTGGAGTGGTGGTGTTGTGTGTGGTGGAGGGCGCAGGTAGACGAAGGAGAGAGAGAGAGAGAGAGAGAGAGAGAGAGAGAGAGAGAGAGAGAGAGAGAGAGAGAGAGAGAGAGAGAGAGAGAGAGAGAGGGCAGATGCGCTTCATTCATGATTTATTTCTATCGGCGTGTTTTCCCTTCCCACATAATCCTCAGAGGAACACTGTTACATCGCCATGAGCCTTTCGGCGACGAGCAGACGGAGAGCGGGGCTGCGCTCAGGCAACATCCGGGGCTTTTCAGAACTTCTGTGGCGCCCGAGCCCAGGACCGTTAAACTCGGTTTAGGAGAGAAATCTGAATCCTCACTGTTTTCAGTAAACAATAAACTGAATCAACATTTTTTGTTTTAAATTAATAATGAAAGCAGAAAAAACTCCCCAGAAATCAAACTCATTGTGGCAAGGCGGCTTTTAAAAAGGGGAATTCCACCGATTTTTAAAATTCCTTTAATTCGGTTTATTAATTCGGTTTTTGAGATGTAAACAAAGTAATCCAGAGTGGTTTGATATGAAATGGTGCACTGTAGACAAACTGACTCTGATTCATTTACAGTAGTGAATAAAAACAGGAATCGATGCTTTCAACGCAAATCTAGCCATTTATTACCCAAAACGAATCTACACGTTCAGAGTTTTATATGTAAGGTTGATAATGGTGAAACAGTCGTGAATCTGAGAAAAAAAGGTACTATTTTGCCTCATAACGTCCTGCATGTATCTCTCCGCCATACAGTACTTCTACAGAAGTCAGGTTTAGACCAATTCTTTGTCTCAAAACTACTGTAGAACAAAGCAGTTTTAGGCCTCAGATGGCGTTTTCACAACCACTTCACACAGCTTTCTGTGAGGAAAGCTTTAGCGGTATTTCACTCAGATATCTGGTTCCTATCAACATCACTGTGAACACTCTGTAAGTTTCTCTAAAACAGAGCATTTCACACATCTTAACCATTTAGTTTTGAGAAAATGAGTGGAATTCATCTTTAAGCTCGTAATATTTTAAGAAGAGCCGATATGTGTTTATATTTTGTACATTCCGTGTCTGTATAAGTGAACAACGACAAAACATTGACTCGCTGCTCCGAGTCTCAGTGTGAAGAAGAATAAGGCTGACCGGACTTCTGAATCGTTGAATCGTTTAGTCTGACGTTCGGCTCATTTAAACAGACAGTTCGAAAGAATCGTTTCTGTTAACTGAATCGAAACGAGCCAACTCTACAGCGTAGCGGAGCTTCAGTCTGCCTTCACACTGCTGTACGACTCAACGGACAGGATTACTGGAGTTTTATTATAACTTTCATATGAGAGCCAGACAGAAAAGGAGAGATGTATGAAAAGAGCAGCGCGGGATTAAAACGAGGCACGGCGACCTCTACTTTATAACGGTGTTTATCACGATTCCCCACTCAGTGCTCAGTATCCTGAAACACCGCCCGGAGCGCTGGCTGGAGGAGTCCCGGCTGTCTTTTCAGAAGTAAGCACTTTTAAAAGAAGACCAGCAGTCCTGCTTTCACAGCCAGTTTCACACCGAGCACATCGAACCATATAATGACACCCAGTGAACTTACGGAGGTGGAGAGCAACAGGCAGGAGGACGCAGGCGCTGCTGAGGGGCGTCATGGTGAAGAGCTCCTGGAGGAAAAGGGGAGAACAGAGCAGTTATGGGTCCTCGGAGCGCCGGTGTGCGCGTGTGTGCTCGGTGAGCGCGGCAAGCTCTGCCTCAGGTTGAGCGGAGACTGAGCGTGTGGGGCCCGGACCGAGATTCGAATCCGCGCGTGCGTCCGTAGTAACGGGGCGGAGCCTGCCGCTCTAGCGCATCACCAACGCGCCGTCACGCGCGCGGTCCCTCATCCCCTTCTCTGCTGTGCACATTTTCCGAGTTCTCTCAGCACTCACTGAAACTAACAGTGTTATCAGCTGGACAGGCGATATTAGAGTTTGGGGGAATTTTTAGCAGATGTGATTTGTCTTTGTTAACAAAGCTATAAACATACTTCAGTCTACTGGGGCTGCCTCCTAGGCAAGTCCCTCGAGGCCAAAATCCTCCTTTTTAACCCTCCTATTATGTTCACAATTCGGTTACATTAATGTTTGCGAGCTAATTTTGTTTAATTTAATTATGAATAAATTCACTTTTTTGTTATGGGTCAAAGTTGACCCTTACAGTACCAATAAAACCATAACAGTTGAACTCATTTTTCCTGAAGAGTCTGTGGGCACTGTGGTCAATCTGGTTATGTTCTGAGGTGTCATTCTACCCCGAGTTTCAGAGGGGGGTGAAGAGCATGCTGTTTGGGCATTTTTTTTTACATGAATGCCTCCCTTAAAGCATTTTGCTGCACATCAGTCTCTTCATCAGAGGATATTCCTCATGCTCTGAATTGATTTTAACATTGTCCTCTGTTTCAGATGCTCTTCTTCTGTTTCACTATCAGCATCTTGTCAATCATGTCCATCTTCTCGATCAGTGATTTCTTGGATTTCATAGACTGTGAACCTACTTTTAGCTATTATGATGGCAGCACACTGAAATATGCAAAGATAAATGTGGGCTCTGTCCTGCACAGGAGCCTTATATCAATGTTGCCCCTCCCCAGATAGGTCTGGATTATACCCTCCTGAGAGAAATATCTGTTTCCTGTGGACACTGTGTGTGTTTGAGTGCACTTGCATGGAAGGCAAACATGAGAAGTGTGTGTGTGTGTGTGTGTGTGTGTGAGAGAGTATTTAGTTCACATGTCTGTCTGTGTGAAAGTGAAACACTGCACACACATACAAGGAGGATCCATGAGCTGTGTGTGTGTGTGTGTGTGTGTAAAATTTCACAAATTGTAATAAACTTTACCTTTACTGCATTTCCCCAATCTGCCGCATTCTCAATTGCCATTCTGAACTAGAGTCAAATTTGACCCTGAACAGTATCTTTGTACTCAAATGGTGCAGAGACTTCATAGAAACATCAAATTGGTCATCTCCATTTTTACACGTTCATATTATCACTGTTGAAGAAGCCATCAAGTTTCATGAAAAGTTAAAAAACATAATAGAAATTTAGAGACACTTTGACCTGAAAAGGGTCAATTTTGACCCAGAACACGATAGGAGTGTTAAAGCAGAGCTCAGGAGACTAAAGTGCATAAAATTGTGCACAAGCAAGATGCATACAATTTTTTTTTTTCTAAAGACCAGTTCCAGAAGGCTCCCTAAACCATGCCGTCCTAGTGTAAGTCTGCACTTTGGTGACATCACCAACATGCTGACCTTTGAACAAAAGATCCTGAGGGTGCTAAGATTAAAACTGTGTTTGGGCCAAACTTGTGCGACATACAGGCCACACATGTTCCATATCAGGCCAAATTAGTGATCATACTCGTTTTTTAAAATGATCTCAATCCGGCTTATAGGCATAATGTTGATGTTTGTTTATTTAAATAAGGCTTTTAACAACAGGTGTTGCCACAAAACAGCTTTAGAGAAAATCTAGGACGAAGCCCCAGTGACAAAGTAAAGGGCCTCAGTGGTAAGGAAAACTCACTAAGAGCAAGAGGGAAGAAACCTTGAGAGGGGAACCCATCCTCGTCTGGTCGACGCCAGATAGCGAAACGATAACACAATAAAAGCAAAAAAAAATAGAAACCAGGATTTTACTATTAATATAAAATATAGACTATAGAGAAAAGGAAACCAGCCTGTCAATGGACAGAAGTATTCAGATTAACCAATGACAACCAATGACTACTGTTAGTAGTATCAAAGTAATAATGGGAAATAGATTTTTGAAAATCAGTCACTGTTACCAGTGAACACCAGTGACTACTGTTAGAAGCCTATCATGGTGACATGTAGGATGAATATGAGAAGAGCTCAGAGTTTCGTGAGGTAAGTGAATAAGTGAAACAATGTCTTTGATTAATAGTTTGCCTGTGTCAGTCAGCAGTATCATCAGGAGGGTGTGTGGCATGCAGGTGAGGCCTCCTGCACAGCGCTGGACAGCAGGAAGCTCCTTGGTATTCAAACTGGTCTAGAAGACAGACGAGCAGTGGGCACCCAACCATGGCAGATAAAGCAAAAGACAGCAGACCACACAGGATGGGCAGTTGTTCAGCTCAGCAAAGAAACACTCAGACAGTTCTGTTTGGAGACACTTAGAACAATATGTAGTGTTAACTGGGTGCAAGCAGTGACTCCAGCTGGCCTAGCTATTACAGCCTTACTGTAACAAAGATATGAGGGCTCCCTGAGTAGTCAGCAACCCTCCACTCCATTGTCAACAAACTTGAGTGAGTGCGTGAGAGCAGCAGGATGACAGCACAGGCATCCTTAGTTTACCATAACACTCCCAGAACTGCATCTTTTATCTAACAGGAAAAACTACCAAAAGGCTTGACTGAACAAGTAGTTATTTGACCTAGACTTAAAAACCGACACTATATCTGTGTCAGAACACTGACTGGAAGGTTACTCCAAAGCTGGGGGTCTTCGTATAAAAAGGCTCTAGTCTTGAATATAACTTTATTAATTCTAGGTACTAATAATAAGCTATATTATGATAATGCATAATGCATCAGTTCTAGCTTTTTTGTACTGCAAGGGATTTTGGTTAAGAGGCAGACACAGCAACAGTCTGCATGGATGCATGCTTCAGCAAAGGCTGCACTAAGGACGCATAGAGAGTGCTTGTAAGCAGCGCCTTGAACGCCAATATGAGAAACGAGACACTCTCAGCTTCACAGGCATGCACAATTAAGGACTGCAAGGCCGCAAGTGCACCAATTGGGATATGCCTTAAGTGTCAAAGCATCTTGCCATGCTTTGTGAACCCTAATCATAATCATCCATGGCTTTCATGATACACAATATGTATGAGACATTGTTTTTTAAATCGGTTTACTGACCTCATCTGCTGAAGCTCAGAAATGTTTGAAGCTTCACTCCTAGACACAAAGTTGAAGGCTTCAAAGAGAGATCTCTTTCATATGATGCAGCTACAGCATGTATTTTACAGTTTGTTAAAAAGTTAACAGAAAATTAGTTTTTCCATCTTCAACGAGGTCAGAAACGTCCACTTCAAGCATGGCACTGAACTTCTAGCTGAACAAACAGCCCTATACTCACGGTAGTGTCTTAAAAGAACTGTCTGCAGTTGTTAGGAGTATCTTCAGACTTGCCAGTATTGGTCTCCAGATCAAACAGTTGGGTTTGATAGCATGTCAAAGTTGACTGCTAGAACTGAGCAGTCCATGACTTAAGTACTGAGTCACAAAATGGGCAGGGGGGTAAGTCATGCTCATCTGGAATGAAGGAAGAAGAAAAAGTACCCAGGAATCAAAGTCAGTGTGGTGGTAATACGGCTTTACTGGCTCAGGGCAGGCGCAGGCGCAGCCACCACTCAGAATCGGTGCTGTCTTCATAAATTAAACTTAAAGCTTCATGAGAACAAGACATGCAACACAAGGATATAACCAACTATGCATTACAACGTAGCACCATTAACAAAGCAGCACCACAATTTATTCAGTTGGTTAAACAGCCAAACATCCAGTCTGTATAAATGACCAAAGCTGGCACAAACAGAATAGCAGATGTCAGATTACAGTAAATGCCTTCTTTACTATTCCTGTCTCATACAATGGGTATATTGGTAGATACCAATCAAGTTCTTGGAGCCAAAATGAATGATCAAACATTTTAGTGAACAAAGTATTTTCTATTCCAAAACATCTAAGGTAAAAGAAATAAGTGTAAAATATACAACATAATAATCCAAGCACAGGGACCAAAATTCAAAAAACACAATGGAAAAATTACAAATGATCCATATTTGTGGTACACAAAACAAGAGCTAGGTCTTAAATGCGAACTTGGAAAAAACAAGTTTAATAGAGCGTTTATGTGCAAGCCTCCAACATTCACGTCTGTATGATTTTGATGCTTAACCCTGATCAGTATCAAACATTTCTAAAACAGTATTTCAACACCATCAAAACCATGTGATTTTTTTTATTTTACACTGCAATTACCTGCCTAAAACTGCGGTATAAGATTAAGGTTAGTCTCTGCTGTAGCTGACAACACGAGGGGTGTTCTGAACAGATACGTGATACAAAGTAAACAAAAATTCAAAACTATTTGACCACGGACCATATGGTTTTTATTTATGTTTTTTTTTAAAGAGATGATGCGCAAAAGACATACTGTCATAATATAAATGGCTTAAGGAAACAAAATTAGATAAATGTGGGTCTTACATGGAACCGATATCTGATGGCCAACACAACTGGTAGTTGAGAACCTTGGAGCAAATAGGCATTTTAATCCAAATAGGCATGGCTTTCCTCAGTAGCATGCTAGTATTCTCAAATTAGTACATCCCTAATAGCAGCTCAAGATCCCCACAATCAACAAATTTGAACAGGAGTAAAGCCAGACATTATTTGCATTTAGGTTAAGTAGGGAAAAAGACAAGGAACCAGACTGATGGAGATGAATCTGAGAAAGAGGAACGACCAACATAGTCTACCAGAACTACTCGCCTTTTTAAACGGCACTCACACTACTTGGGAGAACATCTTGACAGGAACAACCCCAACAATGACCAAATCTATTTATAGCACTTCAAAAAAATAAAAATACTTCTGTATCACATCTGGCCACCCCATTTAGAGCCTTCCCTAACAGCTGAAAAGAAAAACTGCGCAGGGATCTGACATTCAGCTCGAACAAAAAAAGCTATATGGCCCATGTGATGGGGGATCAGGGATTAC